ATGCACAATCAGGTAGTCACTGCCCCTCGGGAAGGGAGCTCAGTGCTGGGGTGGGGCAGGGCGGGGCGGCTGGGACTCACGGATCCTCTGGCTTCCCAGCACAATCAGGTAGTCACTGCCCCGCGGGGAAGAGAGGTCGGAGCTGGTGATGACCACGGTGTCGGGGCCCATCGAGTGCAGCACGTCCATCACCTGCCAGGCACAGGGAGCACATCAGCCAGGGAGCTCCCGAAAGCCGTCCCTCCTGCCCCTCAGCCCTGAGCCCCAACAGCCACGCACAGCGGCCCGCACACCCCCACGAACTCCGGCGGGGTTTGGCTTAAGGGCAGGAAGAGGGGAGACAACAGAAGCTGAGAACCGGAACCCACCCTGACCGGCCCCTGCCCGTCCAGTGACAGCTTTGCCAGGTTACAGCTACCGTCCCCTTTCGCTCGGCTTGAAGTCTGAGGGCACGCGCCGGCCGGCCCCCATCTGCACCCTACAGGTGCCCACTTCTGGAGGAAGGTGCCCACCAGCTGGGCCAGCTGTCCTTCCTCATCTGGGCTCCACACACAGCACACACCAAGCAATGCTGGGCTCCCACCACCTGTCCGCTCTGGGAAGCCACTCACTCACTCGCTTATGTATTCAACAAACATCGACTGCTATGTGTCCAGCAACATGCCGGGGGCTGGAGGCTCCCTGCCCTCGAGGGCACAGGCCTTGTGACAAAATACCCACTGAGGTCCACTCGGGCCTCAGGAGGTGAACCAGCTGAACCGAGCAGGGGCCTGGCCTGGAGAGACCTGGGTGGAGGCAGAGGGCCTCATTGCAGGCAGGAGGTGCATCGCCTGCCTCCCGTGGGCAGCACCGGCCAGCGGAGCCACACCATCTCATGGGGTCCGGCAGAGGGCCTGGGAAGGCCCCGTGCTGACCGTGAATCGTGCACACACATTCGGGACTTCTCGTGCTGGGGACCGGTGTGGACTCCAAGTCACAGACCCTTGGGCTAGGGTTCAGCTCTCCCCGTCACAGCCCGGCAGCCGCGTCCCTCCTCTCAGCCCAGGGCCTCGGGCTGGGGCCACGGAGCCACGAGGAGCGGCCACTCTCTAACTCGGCTTTTCTCTAAGAGCTGTAGGAGGCCCTGCCTTCCTGTGTAACTGCCGCAGAGCAGTGCCTGTGATCATGCGAGCGGGCACTCCCTGCTCTAGAGCTGAGTGTGGGCTGTGGGAGACGTGTCCCTCACCTCGCACACACACGTGCACATAGGGGACAGGGGTGGGCAGAAAGGAAACTGACAATGCAGCTCCCTGGCCCTCGGGCTAGGTGACAGGCAGCCAGATGCTGGCCCCTAGGGGGTCTGTCTCCCATCTCCCAGGTATGCAGCGTCCCCTCCCCAGGGAGCAGGCCGCCTGTCCCACGCCAGGACCTGGAAGGCCTCCTTACCGCTAAGGCTTCTTCCTGGCTGTGGATCTTCCTGCCAGTCAGTAACCTGAAAGACAGGCAGGCACAGGTGAGACGCTGCTTGCTGGGTCCTGCCTGGAACGTTCCCAAAGCGACAGTGGCACTGGTACCCCCGGCCCCCCCACCCCAACCCCCACAGGGAACTAACTCAGAGCCTGCTGGCCATCACAGGCCATCACGGGCCAAGTGGCCACCATGATGTGTCTGGGGACCGGTCAAGAGTAAACTTTAGGCCCAGCTGGGGTGGTTCAGTGGTTGGGCATCAACTTATGAACCAGGAGGTCATGGTCAGGACGCATGCCCATGGTGTGGGCTCAGTCCCCATTAGGGGGCGTGCAGGAGGCAGCCGATCAAGGATTCTCTCTCAATCATGGATGTTTCTAACTTTTTCTCCTTCTGCCTTCCTCTCTGAAATCAATAAAAACATATTTTTAAAAAGAGTCAACTTAAGTTTTAAATGAGAACTAGCTGCACACCCCTGGCACCGGGAAACGCCCCTCACACCCTCAGTGCCTGGTTCTTCAATGGGTGAGGTGGGGCCTTGCAGCCCAAGGAAGGCCCTTTGATACTGGGCAGAGGGCTGCACACGCCTCTCCACCTCACGAACAGATCTGGGAAGTGGGTTAGAGCTCAGGGTGACTGCCCGTGTCAGCTGCATGGACTCCCTTCCTTGTGGCAGCCACATGCCAGAGCACCTCTTCCCTCTCTCTGTCCCCAAGACTCTTGCTGTTCAGGAGTAAAATAACCACACGAGCCCTGACCGGTTTGGCTCAGTGGATAGAGCATCGGCCTGCAGACTGAAGGGTCCCAGGTTCGATTCCGGTCAAGGGCATGTACCTTGGTTGCGGGCACATCCCCAGTAGCGGGTGTGCAAGAGGCAGCTGATCGATGTTTCTCTCTCATTGATGTTTCTAACTCTCTATCCCTCTCCCTTCCTCTCTGTAAAAAATCAATAAAATATATATTTAAAAAAATAAAATAAAATAACCACACGCTACTGCTGACGGCTAGAAAGGAGCCGGATTGGCCCTGGGTGCCTCGTCACCCTGGCACACAGGGGGCAGGGAGCTCCGACTCGGGGAGGGTCTGCCCCCACGCCGGTGCCAGATCCACTCCCCTGAGGCAGGACCTTCCGGGAGCCGAACCCACAGAAGGGATGTGGGGACACTTCCTGCGCTGTGTCTGTCACTGTCCTGTGGGGAGGTCTGAAAGCTTTGGCCGTTTCTAGTCACTTACTCAGCCTCGAACTGGTTGGGAGTTATAATGTCTGCAACCGGCACCACCTTTTCTTTGTAAACAGGAAGGAGATCCTCTGGAACGTACTGAAGGAAAAGGAGAGGGACAGGCTGACGCACACAGAGGAGGAGACGAAACCAGAACATTCGAGTCCAGCTCGGGGACCCCAGTGACACCGGGCTCCCCACCGTGGAGACAGGCAGCGCAGGGTGACCCAAAGGGCTCCACAAGGGGACAGTGAGCCACGGCCTGTCCCACTGCCTGTCTATGTACGGCTCAGGGGCCGAGGGCAATTTTAACATTTTTTAATAGTTGGGGGAAAAGTCAAAGGAAGAGTAACACTTTGTGACACACGGAAAGACAGAAAATTCAAATCTGTGTCCGTACATGAAATTTTACTAGAAAACAGCCATGTCTGTTGGTCAGCAAATTGGCTGCTTGGGCTACAACAGGGATGGTGGCCCTAAGATACTGACTCTCTGGCCCTTTTATGGGAAACCTCTCTGCCAGCCCTGTCTCCCCCGACCGAGGGCCCCGCCTCCCCCAGAGCAGCGCCTCGTCCATCAGAGGTCGTGTCCTGCTTTAGGATGAGCAATAGCTGTGCTCACCGCACTCACACAGGCGTGACATTACTCACCATGGAGCCTTCGCCTTCCCACTTGTCACCCATCACCGGGTCGCACACTGTGGGGACACAAAGGGCATCGTATCAGCAAGAGCTGCAGCCGGGGAACAAAGAGCCTTTCACAGGATTTTTTTATTTTTTTAATCCTCACTAGAGGATATTTTTCCATTGATTTTTAGAGAGTGTTAGGGAGGGGGAGAGACAGAGAGAGAAACATTGATGTGAGACACACAGATTGACTGCCTCTCACACATACCCCAACCAGGGTCAGGGATTGAACCTGCAACCCAGGTACGTGCTCTTGGCCAGAATCAAACCCAGGGACCTTCAGTCCTCGGGTCAACGCTCTATCCACTGAGCCAAACTGGCCAAGGCCTTTCACATGATATTTGTTGTTAAACGTCACCTGCACCTAAAAGCTTGGGGAAGCATGGCGTCCATTCTCATTTACGCATTACCTGGAATTCCCCACTTTGTCATCCGGGCCACCTGGGGTGTCACAAACCTCAAATGCAGTGACCTTTGCACACTGACACTGATAAAGCCAGTTTACAGCCTGCTTGCCTCCCCACAAAGATGCCAGGTTCGCGGTGAAGGTGTGTCTACCCCCTGAGTTCAGTGCGTACAGGCTGGGAGGTGGACCATGAAGTTGGGATGCAAGAGGGAGGCTTCTACCCAGGCACAGGCCCCAGGGGCGCCCACTCCTGCAGGTGACAGCCCAGCGCCTACCATACACCAGCCGGGAGTTCTGCTGCTTCAGCTCCCGCACGATGTCCACCACCATGGCCAGGAAGGACTTGTCCCTCGTGTACCCTGTGGGAGGGAGAGCAGGCCACCCGCATAAAACAGAAGGCTCACAGCGACCGACGGCGGCAAAGTGAAACCATCCTGCGGCCAGGGTGAAGACCAAGTGTCCCCCAACAAACACAGCCTCCGAGGGTCCCCGGGCACTTCCCAAAAGGAAGAAGCCTCGGTGATGGGTGTACAGGGGATGTTCTTCTCTCCTGTCCATTTCAACAAATACATTCACTTTTAACCACGTACATAAACATAAACAGGTACTCTTTTTTTTTTAACCAAGAATGGGTATAAATAAGACCAACGTACCAGGCGGCAGCGTGTTGCCTACTTGGGTGTTTCACCCCAACCTCTTCCCAACACCCCACTTGGCCCCACCCCATGCGCACTGCAACCCCAATGTGGGCCCAGAAGTGTAACTTGGCCTGGACAGGACCAAGTGCTCGGTGGCATGCGCCACCCCTCCTTGAAGGAGGCAGGGACCAGGGACCAGCCGGGTGTGGGGTGCTCTGGGACTTCGAGAGTCCATCCCAGCTGGAGCAAGGCTCACAGGTACCAGCGCCTGCTCCCTCAGGGCCCTTACCAGTGAGCACGTAGTCATATTTATTGACGTTGTTCAGCTTCAGACCTTCGTACACCTCGTGGAGCTCATCTGCGTTCAGCACCTGACCCTTCCAGTGTGCGTAGCCTGGGGAGAGGAGAGCAGTCAGGGCCTGCGCACACGGCACACGGCACATGGGTGAGACAGCTTCACCTGATGGCCCAGACAACCTCAACGACGCTGGTGGGGTGAATGGTCCCCTCCCCAGGGGCTGACGTGGGGACTGACTGAGACCTCCCAGGCATGGTGTCTCAGTGGGCTGATCCCTGTGGGTGCCCAGCAGCCTCAAAGCGCCCCTGACAGCACCCTGGCTGATACTGTCTGTGGTTGTAATTACTGGCATCAGGGCTCACACCTCCCACCGCCAGTTCCCTCTGAATGAATCTAAGGCAGGGAGGGCATCAGCTCTCCAGGCTGGCCCACGGACGCCTGTGAAACCCATGTCACACTGACAGGATGGGGAGGGGGACACTCCAAAAAGGACACACCGGGATCACACAACTGGTCACTTCTCCCTGTCTTTCGAGGGGGCCCCTGGGATGTGTCCCCACACGTCACAGTCACTTCCTTTGCCAGCTTCTACTGTGCATGTTTCCCCATCCAGGCTGAGTTGCTTGATCGCTGTCATCTGGGCACCCTGTCAGGCAAGGGCTTGTCACATCCCAGTTCCCCTTCCCCCCACCCTCCACATAAGGTTGAAATGCGGCCAAAGCAAGTCTTGGATCAAATCGTGACCAAGAGCCAAACGTGAATCAGAAATGGGCCCAGATGCTCAACCTGCTCTCGTCCCCGACAGGCATGTGGGTGCAGACAGACACATGAGCATCCTGAGGGGACTCACCTGCCATGTGGAGCCCCTGCCTACAGAGGCTCAGATGGGGACTGGCCAAGGTTCTCCCAGTTCACCAGGGGCAGGGCCATGCCATGGACACCCCACACTTCACCCATGAGAATTCCTCCTGGTGGCCTTTATGGCAATGGGAGGCCCTTAAAGTATGTGCTTCCAAGCACGTAAGTAAAAACCACGGGGAGTTATCCCTACAACCCTCCACATGGACCACCGGGTGGTGATCTGCACTAACTCAGACCGCCCAGAGCCAGGCTGCTCAGCCTGGAGGAGGAGAAGGGCAATGGCGCCCTCTGCTGGCAGCCTGTGTGCATGAGCAGGAGTCAACCTGATTCTGGAACAACTCCAACTGTCAACAGGATTCTACAGGCAGTGTGGCCCCGGGACACCAGCTGTGACAAATCATCTGTATGTCCCTTGAGAGACACCAGTGTGAACTGACACGGGAGGGTGAGTCTGTTAGTAGAATCTGATTGACCCCATTCATCAGACACCCTCGGGGTCAGCAGGGTCAGGAGGGCCAGGCAGGGAGAGTCCAAGAGCTCTCCAGTGCAGGACTCCCCCCACCGGCTCTCGCTTTCACCAAATGCTGGCAGCCTCTGGCTGTGTCCCGGGCAGGTGTTTGCTCAAGGAAGGCTGGCGGCCACAAAAATGCTGCAGGCCCAGAGTGGGGAGAACAGTGGTCCTTCCTGCCCCTCCGTTTGGTTTATTCCCATTGCACGTGTAGCATAGTCGAGTCCTGGAGCACCACAGACTGGGCGGCTCCAACACAGTCCTGGAGGCTGGAGGCCGAGGTCCAGGTGTGGGCAGGGCTGGTCCCTCCCAAGGCCTCTCTCCTGGGATTAGATGACCCCTTTTCCCTGTGTCCAAACATGGGTGTCCCTCTATGCCTGTCTGTGTCCTGATCTCTTCGTAGGGGGACGACCATCATGTTGGATTAGGACCCATCCCAATGACCTCATTTAACCTTATCACCTCTCTACAGAGCCCATCTCCAAATACAGTCATCCTCTGAGGTGCTGGGGTCAAGGCTTCAACACATGAATTAGAGGGGACACAATTCAGCCCATCAGAGCAGCGGTGAGGGTGAGACACACAGCCCCCCACCAGGCTTCAGACACCGGGCACCACGGCAGAGCACAGCCTCTGTGAGACCAGCTTCCTAACCAGCCTGTGGCCAAAGCACTAGCTCTGCGGCCTCAGGTGCAGGGTGCCACATGCCACACTACCACAGGGCACGGGTCTGAGAAACAGACCAGCCTCATTTCTGAGCAGCAGGGCGTGGGCAGGGGTGAGGGGAAGAGAGATGGGCTCGGGGCTCGGGGCACAGCGAGGCATCACCTGGCTACTCCAGGTCGAGGGGTTGGCACCTGAGCCCAGAGGTGGCCTTGGGGAGACCTCCCCCTGTAGGCCCTCCGATTAGGCTGCAGAGACAGGGTGCTCAAAGTCACCCACAGTGGGAGCTGCCGGAGGGATCCTCTCGCCAGGCAGGCCCCACACGCATCTAAGGCTGGACTAGAGCAGGAGGCTCTTCTCCGTGGGTGAGGAGGCCCATCCGGGAACCAGAGGTGCCTCCCTGGGAGAGAAGCCCCCATCCCAGCCCTACCCATGCCCACACCTGCGTAGGCTCTAAGGCAGTGGTTCTCAATCTTCTGGCCCTTTAAATACAGTTCCTCATGTTGTGACCCAACCATAAAATTATTTTCGTTGCTACTTCATAACTGTAATGTTGCTACTGTTATGAATCGTAATGTAAATATCTGATATGCAAGATGGTCTTAGGCGACCCCTGTGAAAGGGTCGTTCGACCGCCAAAGGGGTGGAGACCCCTCCCTGCTTCAGACCCGTCGGGATAGCCAGCACACCATCACCTGAGAGGGTCCACAGGAGGCAGGAGGAGCCGTCACCACCGAGGCCCGGAAGGCCCCTCCCCTCGCCCCTGCAAAGGAGTTTCTGAACCGAATCCTTGCTTATGTTGAGCCAATGTCATTATGGCACAATATAATATTCACCAATAAGTTTAATTCCGTCACTTGGTGTCCAAGCCAGTTTGGCTCATTTACTTTAAAAAAAAAAAAAAGGAAAAAAGGAAGGAAGAGCCCGAGGCTCAGTGGTTCGATTCGATTCCCGGTGAGGACACATGCTTCGGGCTTGATCCCCAGCATGGGGCATGCAGGAGGCAGCTGATCGATGTTTCTACCTCCCTTTCCCTTCTCCTCTGAAATCAATAGAAATATATTTTTTAAAAGAAAAGAAAGAAAAGAGAAAAAGGGAGGGTGGTTGAAACAGCCAGTAAAAACATGTGGGATTCAGGGAAGTTCACTGGATTGACTCAAACTTTTTGGGACTTCTTCAAATTTCAGAGCGCGCAGCACACTCCGCAAAGTGAAAGCAGGAAAGGACTTTTAGGGCGAACTGTAGCCTTTTCATCCAAACCCACACAGAATTCCTTTAAAAGAAAAGAGAAAAAGGGAGGGTGGTTGAAACAGCCAGTAAAAACATGTGGGATTCAGGGAAGTTCACTGGATTGACTCAAACTTTTTGGGACTTCTTCAAATTTCAGAGCGCGCAGCACACTCCGCAAAGTGAAAGCAGGAAAGGACTTTTAGGGCGAACTGTAGCCTTTTCATCCAAACCCACACAGAATTCCTCCCTCCTTGCTTATGACCTATCATACCCTCTCCCCTTCCAGGAAAAACTGTACCCAGAAGAATTACAAGAAATCCCTCCCGAGGGCTGAGGCCAAGGCACCACCCACGGTGCCCCGCCAGGCGGGTCGGAGACGTCTGTGCCCGGAGGTGCTTCCTGGATTCAGAGCAATCTCACGAGACGCAATGTGGGGACCCTTCCAAGACCGAGGAGGCTTTGTCCTTCTGCCTCTGCGGCCGTGGGGAGCGTGGGGTCAGGGGCGTGGGGAGCAGGGGGCTCACCCCTGACAACAAGGGCCTTCCAAGGGCACTGCCCCTCACACACCCTCCAGCCAGCAACTCCACTTCAAGGCTTGTCCAGAAACCCGTGAGGTCCCCGTGCGTGTGCTCTCCCAGGCACCAGTCTCTAATAGAGACAGTCAGGGTCCACCCACACGTCCACCTATAGCCATGGCGGCACGGGGGGCATGAGCACACTCATGTAAGAGTAGGTGCTAGGATCACCGTCCTTGTTTTACAGGAGGAAACTGAAGCACCACCTCCCCTGGTTACCGCACCTGCCTGGCCAGCCAGCGCAAAGCCGTGGGGCTAAGACTCCACTGGGCAGTCCACCCTGCAGATGGGAGACCCCAGCCCTCCACCCTCACACAGGGCCGCCCCTCCAGCTCTGTCAGATTGGGGCACAAGACCCACATTTCTAAAGGGACGTTTCTCACACCCACACTCAGCTGAGCCTGTGCCTTACCTGTGTGGTTTGAAAACTGGACAGAGTTCACAGCGTCGATCTCAAACCCCAAAACCTGCAGGACAGACAGAGAAGGACCAGGTGTGAGAGAGCCTGGGGCTGGCAGTGACCCCCCTGGCCCGGAGGAGGGGAGCCCACGCAGGCCGGGCCCCCAGGCGCAGGGCCCAGGAGGGTCTCCCCAAGCCAGGCTCCATGTCCGCATGCTGATGGTGTCTGTGTCAGGTCATGGGCTGCGTTCAGTCCTTTCTACAGGAAATGTGTGGGGAAGCAGCCAGCCGGAAGGGCTGAGACACAGAGGCCACTCTCCGCAGCTGGGACTCAACGCCTCCGGATCACTCCTGGAGATCCCACTGATGGAGCTCGCAAAGAAACCCGTGAGGCCACCAACCGAGACCACACCCCCATGAGCCACATACAAGCAGTGGCAAGCTGGAAGCCACCAGGGAGGTGTGAGGCCAATGGCCCTGCCCAGCGTGAGGAGGGGACATGTCCACGAGCTCAACTCTGACGCAGGAGACCTGACTGACCAGGCCAGTGAATAAGACAAGAAGCCCAGGAGCAGGAAAGCCCTCGAGGTCAACTCCAGGACTTCTGGTTGGTCTGCTCCACTGACTTTACTCCTTTCCCTTCCCCGAGCTCAACGGGAGAACAAGGATCTTTTTGTTTTTTGGTTGTTTTTGTTTTTGTTTTTTAAATATATTTTATTGATTTTTTACAGAGAGGAAGGGAGAGGGATAGAGAGTTAGAAACATCAATGAGAGAGAAACATCGATCAGCTGCCTCCTGCATACCCCCTACTGGGGATGTGCCTGCAACCAAGGTACATGCCCTTGACCAGAATCGAACCCGGGACCCTTGAGTCCGCAGGCTGACGCTCTATCCACTGAGCCAAACCGGTTAGGGCAACAAGGATCTTTTTGTAACACTGAGCCACAAGACAAAGAAAGGGAGCAGACGAGAGATTTCAACAAACTGTGGAGTAGCTGAAACACACACTTCCCATGCCATCCTATCTAATAAAAGCCTAATATGCAAAGTGTCTGGTCATTCAGTTGCCCATTCAACCAATCAAAGAGTAATATGCTAATGATATGCTAAGGCTGCTCAACCACTCGCTATGATGTGCACTGACCACCAGGGGACAGACAGTCGACCGGTCAACTAGTTGCTATGACATGTACCGACCACGGGGAGCAGACACTCCGACAGATAGGTTAGCTTGCTGCTGGGGTCTGGCAGATCAGGACTGAGCAAGACAGGCCAGACATGCCCTGGAGCCCTCACATGTCCCTCCCCAGCCATGATCGTGCACCAGTGGGGTCCCTCAGCCTGGCCTGCACCCTCTTGCAATCCAGGACCCCTCGGGGGATGTTGGAGAGCTGGTTTCAGCCCGATCCCACAGGCCAGGCCGAGGGAACCCCACTGGTGCACGAATTCATGCAGTAGGCCTCTAGTTAAATTAAAATCTCAGTGCCTCCTGGGGGGACAGGTAAGAAGTGGGTCCATCATCTATACAGTCTCCCAGAGAGACAGGGCAAGAGAGAGCAAGTGAGAGAGACAGTGTAAAAAAAACTAACAGAGACTGAGAGCCCGGCCAGTGTGGCTCAGAGTTTGAGCATTGACCTATGAACCAGGAGGTCATGGTTCGATTCCCAGTCAGGGCACATGCTTGGGTTGGGGGCTTGATCCCCAGTAGAGGGCATGCAGGAGGCAGCCAATCAATGATTTTATCTCATCATTGATGTCTCTCTCTCTCTCTCTCTCTCTCTCTCTTTCTCCCTTCCTCTCTGAATTCAATAAAAATATATTTTTAAAAAACAGAGACTGAGAGACAGTGTGAGACAGGCAGCAAGAAACAGAAAGTGTGTATGGAAGAAACGACAGAGAGGACAGAAGTGCAGGGACGTGCTGGCCCTGGGGCCTCCCTCCCCTCCATCTGCCATTCTGCTCTAGCAACCCCCCTTCTGTGCACCGACGACCTCCAAGTCTCATCCTAGCGTTCAAAACAGACAAAAGGACCTCTGCTGCGGGCAGTCGGGAGCGGCTGCCCCGGGCGGGGACGGTGCGGCAGTGACGGGGAGCGTCTGTGTGCTGCTCTCCGTCCACGTCTTCACGGGGTGGCGGTTACACAGGCGCATTCACTTTGTGAATTCATTGAGTGACGCGCTTAGGATGTCTTTTTAAACATTTAAAGTCGGTATTATCAGAACTTAAAGTGATAAAAAGTCAAGTCTTATTAAAGTAAAAAGTTAAAATGGGAGCTTTGCAATTTCCTTGCCTGATTTGATGGCCTCCTGGACACACATACAGTTTGCAGTCTTTCAAATCCTGAAGAATCAGATTGGAAGCGACACCAACCCTGACAAACTTGCCAAAAGTCCCCTCTCCAGTGCTTCTGGATGTGGATGGTCCATCCTCGGAGCTGGCAAAGGCGAAGTCGCTGTTTCCTGCTTTGCAATGACAGCGAGCGCTCAGCCCCTGGTTGCCATCGCCATCTCAGATGCCAGTGACACGGGCGTGCTCGCCAGGATCCCAGGCTCCTCTGAGGGCACCTGGCAAAGCCCGGGTGCAGGGCTGCGCCAGACCCAGAAGGAAGTCAGCACAGAGGGCCGACCTGCGGGGTTCAGGCCTTGGGCCCTGGAGAAGGACCTCCTGTTGTTCAAACCCAGGCTTCGGCTCCAACCCCCTCTGTGCGGGGCCCCGTGGAGCGGGGGCTGAGCGCTGGGACTCGCACCCAGCTCAGCCAGTGGCCGCCTCTGGGCACAGCCAACAAGGAGAGAGAGGCTGGGGGAGGGAAGGGCTGTACCCCAGCAGCTCTGTCCTCCGAGCCCTGGCGGTGACATCCACACTGTGGCTTCCCATCACTCTCAGCACAGCCAGCCTCCTCCCCCTTCTCCCCTGCACACCCGCTTCTCCCAGCGTTAAGTTCCAACTCCCCAACCTCTTCTCTTTTGATCCCAGTCAGCTACTTAAGGCGGGTGTTGGGCTGCTGGCAGGGGCCTCCCACACGATACCTGTGTTGCCCTTTTCCCTTTTCTGTTCTCCCGATAACAACTGTCTCTATTAAACTCTCTGTGAACATAATTGCTGTGGTTTCTGTTTCTGGTCTGGCCGCAGCCTCTACACCTTGTCTCCTCCAGCCCCAGGGGAGCCAGAGACAGGCTGATTCCTGGCCCAGGGGTCAGAGCAGACCACACACACACACACACACACACACACACACACATACACATACACACGGTGAGCTGCTGGGCGCTCCCTGGCATTCAGCTTCGGCATGGGGGGCAGATCTGAGTTCCCACCCTTGACAGTCTGCACATAAGTCACAGGACATGGGAACAGACCAAGATGCCTGTGGACCCTGCTAACTGACAAGACCACCGCTTAAGAGAGCAGCTGACAGGACAGAGTGCTGGTCCCTGTGGGTGAGAATCAGGTGGTTTTATAGCAGAGCCGGAGCTCACACAGCTACGGGGCCCCCGTGAGAAGCAGCGTGTCAGGGCCCCATGGCCCTGCGCACCTGTGCACAACTCCATCCGAGTGCGGGTGGAATGCGTGAATGTGACTATGTTTTGCAGCAAAAGGCAGCGTATCCACGTGAGTCTGATATAATTACACGCGTCCTTCAGCAGCAGGGAGTTGCAGGCTGATGGGCAGAAAGTGAGAGCGATCTGGATGAGAGGACTCCACGCACGCCGCTGGCTTCAAAGACCGAGGCCGCGTGATGAGCCACGCAACTGTGTGCGTCAGTGCTGTATCAGCCACCACTGAGAGCTGAGTCAGAACACGCACTAGTGAACCATGTTAAACGCAAATGCAGTGGCTGTCTTACCCTCCCCCTCCCCAGTTCACTGCGTGGCCGGGCTCTGGAGCTCTCCACGCCGTGGATCTCACGAGGCAGGCGCTGTGCCTCCCTCCCACCTCCCCCGCGAGTGGGTGTCGAGCAGCCAGCGGCAGAGCTTACACCACAGAAACTGGCACACACCCTCCCCACCCCAAGCCAGTTGTCTGTTGTTCATCCTCACCCGAGGATATTTTTCCAATGACTTTTAGAGAGAGAGGAAGGGAGAGGGAGAGACACAGAGAGAGAAACATCGATGTGAGAGAGACACAGCAATTGGTTGCTTCCCACACGGCCCCCAACTGGGGCCGGGGATCGAGCCTGCAACTGAGGCATGTGCCCTTGACCAGAATCCAACCGACGACCCTTCAGTCCACAGGCTGACGCTCTATCCACTGAGCCAAACCAGCTAGGGCCAAGCCAGTTTAACAGTTGCCAGCACACAGTAAAAAGATATAAACTGTCATTTTAAGAAAAAAGAGGGGGGTGGGGGCAGCTGGGGAGAGGGCAATGGTGGAAAAAGGAAACTTATGTAATACTTTAAACAATAAAGAATTTTTTAAAAGATACTATGTTTGAATTTAAAAAAATAAAGATACTATGTTTGAATTAAAAAAAAAAAAAAAAGGAAAAGAGAAAAGAGAAAGCAGGCCGGGTAGCCCAGGTGGTTCCAGTGTTATCCCGATACCAAGGCCGTGGGCTTGATCCTGGGTCAGGGCACATACAAGAATCAGCCCAGGAATGCACACATAACTGGAACAACAAACTGATGTTTCTCTTTCTCTTTCTCTCTAAAAAGAAAAAAATCAACAAATATTGAAGAAGGAGGAGGAGGAGGAAGAGGAGAAGGCGAAGGAGAAGGAGAAGGAGAAGGAGAAGGAGAACGAGAACAAGAACAAGAACAAGAACAAGAACAACAACTGACTAGTTCAGCCCAGGGTGGGGTCAGGGGAAGGAAGGCCTTTCGAGAGAAGGGATACCACCACCTCTGCCATCTCTCGCTGCAGCAGGAACCCTGTCCCACCAGCAGGGGGCTGGGTGCTCCTGGAATTTCCCTGCCCTAGTGCCCCATCCCTGCTGTGGCAGCCCAGTGCAGGCTGTTCAAGGGCTCCTCACTCCAGTTCCTGTGAGCTCCACCACCACTCTCCTCGTCCCTTCCCCTGACCCTAGGTGTATCCCCTGAACCCTAACCTTCCCGGGCTTGCTGCTGCCCGGGGCTGCGTGCCCCACCACCACACCCAATTCCATGGATTCCACACTGTGGCCACTTCCTGACCCTGAAACGTCGGAAACGTGTGAGCTCCTCTCCGCAGCCCAGACCATCACTCACTCAGCCCCCACGACCCTGTTTAGAACCTTGT